GGCGATGTTCACCCGCGCCGTGAGCCGACTGAGCAGGAAGCGGCCGCCGTCTGGTAAGCGGCTGTGAGCATTGGGGCGCGGGAAGGGCCGGGTCGTGGGGTCCCCTGGAGCGGCTCGCCGTGCCGCCCGGACAGCAGCCGCGCTCCTCCCAGCTCGCTCTGTCCCAGCCACGGCGGGAGCGCAGAGCCGGGGAGCCGCCCCGGGAGGAAGTTAGGCTTGAAGCTGGAGCCACAGCAGCTTTCTTTCTTTTTTTCTTCTAAAGAAGGTCTGGGAGGCACGGGAGACACAGAACAGCCTCACACTCCGAGGCAGCGTGGGAGCCAGGCTCCTCTCCTGTGTGCAGCCTCCACCGCGGGTCGAGGTGGGAAGGATGCTCCACCGGACCTCTACATCCCCCGGAGCGGCCCGGCCCCGCGGCGCCAAAAAGTGGAGTCCCAAGGTGGTTGCACCCCAGGGCGGGGGAGGTACTTGTGTGACACGGCGGCGGAAGAGTCACTTTGTCTTTTCGCCTTGGATTAACCCGACCCACAGTTTGGGGCAAGTTGGCAAGACAAAGAACCCACAGCGCAGAAACGGTGATTCGAATCTTGTCATCCTTTTTGTTCATAACACCTAACTAACACTCTGATGGCTTATGTTGTGGCCAGGAGCTGTGTTGACATCTTCTGTGCTTTCCTCCTGTCTTCACTCTTAGAAAAGCCGCGTCGGAGGGGTGGGGTCCTGGTGCCAGGGTGTTGGGTAACCTGTGCCACACTTAGTTGGTGGATCTTTCAAACCTACGTTTGTTTGTTTGTTTGTTTGCTTGACTTTGGTTCGGATTACACCGGCTTGCTTCCCCGTCGCCCAGAGATTCATTACGTGTCAGCCGGTTTCCTCTTTTCCCCTAAACATCAACTGTGGTTAAGCGACTGCAGTCAGAGAGACTGAATCCCACGGCGGTGGCTCACCAGCTGTGTAACTTCTTTGTGAGGCATCGGGTTGTGCGAAGTGGAGCTTTAAGTGCTTAATTGGAGCCTGCCCTCCACCCGTCAACTCATGCAAATCATTTCATTAAATATTTAAGACGACCCTGCTAAAGTCAGATTTCATGGAATTATTTGTAGAGTTTGCACTGCTGCCCAACATGAATTAAAGTGTTCCATTAGTGTTGCCTGCATGGTCGGATTCCCTTGTGAGTGTGGATGGCTGACACGGGCCACGGAATGGTGTTCAGGTTCTAGGCACTGGGGTTAAACTTCTGATTCCAACCCTGACTCCCTCATTCAGCATCGATGCATAATGAATGTCCTTGGACCTCTCTGTGGTAGGAGGGAGCTGTGCTGGTGCTGCCTCAGTGTGGCTTGCAAGAGTCAATTGCTAAATATTCAGGATATCTGGGAACTGGTTGCTAAGTCATAGGTGGGCTGAAGTTAACCGTGGTGGGACAAGACATATGTCAGACATCCAGACTTGATGAACCTCTGGTTAGTAGATTTCAGAGAGCTGTGGACTTAACTACACACTTAATTTTTTAAAATTTTAAATTACATTTATCGTGTGTGTGTGTGTGTGTGTGTGTGTGTGTGTGTGTGTGTGTGTCTGTCTGTCTGTGTGCATGCCACAGCTTGCATGTGGAAATCAGAGGACAACCTGTGGAAATCGGTTCTCTCCCTTCTACAGTACAGGTCCCAGTAATCAAACTCAGATCATTAGGCTTAGATACAAGCATATTTATTTACCCACTGAGCCATTTTGCTGGCCCTTACCTACAGACTCTAATTCTGATAAATATGTGTACAAATTACCAACAGTAGGGCCAGCAGCAAACACGAGGAGCTCCAAATGCAATGCTGGGTATGATAAAAGGTGTTGGAGTTACTAGTTTCCCTTTCTTTCTCTTTCATGCTATACAGAGCAGTGGCGAACAGCCCACTTGTGGCTTTGAATTCAATTTGTCCCGAGTATAATACAAATAGAACCCTGAATCATGACAGACACATAGATTTTGGATACTTTTGCATATGGCCACGATGCATTCCCAAACTGAAGCGCAGTTTCTGAAACAATGTAACATGTGCCTGTTCCAGGGCCACAGACCTGACTGCTGGTGTTGCTTGCCCACACCGCTGAGAGAAAGGCCAGATGTTAAACCGCAGGGGTTGGTGTTGCTCACAGAGGCAAGTGGTCTGCCCCAGAGTGACATCCCATCCTGACCTTTGCTTTTAAAGAGTTTTTCCAAAATATCTAACTGGGACCCTACGGAAGTTGGATACACCCTGCAAGAGGCTGGACTTGGAATTGACGGCAAGCCTGGCTCCTCCAGAACATTTTATATGAGACCAAAGAACTAAATCTTATTGAAGATGGTATCCATAAGCTGAGGACTGTAAGCTCCGCCCATTTCTAAGGTTCATAGTTGGAGGCCCTTTGTCTCATTTCTGAGGTTTCTCAAAGTATGTTTTGCCTACCAGGTGGGGGAAGTGGGGCCTTAATAAAAGTCAGACCCCAGTTCAATCTTGGGGACCAAAGGGGAGCAGGAAAAGTCAGCTGCATTTTTAGCCAAGTACCCCAGTGGTTCTTCTGCTGACATGCAAGGACTTCTCAGAGGGTCCTGTTCCCTACCCACAACTGCATTGCTAATAACTGGCAAGATCCCACCTCAGAACCCAAGTAAAAGCCACGCCCTATAGCCAGCTAGCTTCGTGGCCTGTCAGAGCTCTTTTTACATTGTCCCATTGAACCCTGGGAGCATTTCAGAGTTATTGTTGGGCTGAAGGTGACAATCTGCACAGAAATTTAACATATTTGTTTTTAACAGCTCAGCAGTGGAGTGTCTTGGTTGTTGGGCAAACTTACTTTTGTAGAAACTCGTGGGCTGGGCCTTGGGGCTGGTGGAGAGCAAGTCTCGCCTGCAAGCATGGAAAGGCTAGGATAAGATGGTCTTTTTGTCTAGATGGCATCAGCTCAGCCTGCTTGGGTCCCAACAAGAGCAGCGGGCAGACAAGATGGGTGGACACGAGGTACAACGTGGCTTCAGGGGCAGCCACTTGTCCATATTTTGTCTTCTTTCCTCAGAACAGAAGACTTAGGTGCCTTGCCCAGGCAGGGTCTGGGGCGGCTGTTTCCAAAGCCTTCATGGCGAACCAGACACTTCCCTCCTTGAGCTGAGTGATCCCCCTCATGCTGGGTTCTAAGAACTTGTTTATACTGTACTAAATATATTCTGGTCGCTTCTGCTTCCCCCAGATAGCTGTCCACTGCGGCAGCCCGGGGGTGGCAGTCAGACAAGAGGGGCCTCAGACAGGCAATAGCAGCAGCCCCTTGATAAGGGCTGTCAGGAGGCGTCCACCATGTGAAACAGCCCCTGCAGACTTCCAGGGACAAATTTCTCTTTGAATCTGATTCCCATCTCTTGAGGGCCATGCCTAGTGCCCGGGTTGCCTTGCTGCCTCCACCTGGGCTGTTCTTGTCAACCCATCCTCCCGCCCCTCACTCTACCTGTAGAGGTATTGGGCATTCCTACCTCCTTGAGGGTGTCCTTCCTCCAAGCCTGATTGGTCCTTGGCACCTGACAGTAGCTTGTCTCGGAAGAAGGAAAGTTGGGTCTCCAGGCGTTCATTTCCAGTGGAGCAGACAAGATAATCCGTCTCCGACCCTAGTCGAGGGCTACCTGTGTGCACATCGACTCACTCAGCTTGTTAAATATTTAGTGACCCAGTCTGGAGTTGATGGCTTCTTCCCTGTCTCCTTCCCTCCCATCCGGGAATTCCTGGCTTACTTTCACCATTCTCGGTAAATCCGTGACTGAAAGTCAGGTTTTCACTTGTGGCATCTTTTACTCCCGCTTCCTTCCCGGCTTCTCCAGCCAGCCATTCTGAACTAGAACCTGACCCCTCCATCCTGCTGCTTCCTTCACCTCTGGGTGCCTCATTTCTGTTGGTTACTGTATATTCTCAGTGATTGTCACCTGTTTGCGGTAGTCCTTCTTCCTCTCAGCACCCCCCACCCCTGGGTCAGTGCTCAGCTTAGCTCTGAAAGGATTGATCATTATAGACCGTATTTAGGAGTACCAGATGTGGCCTTGACTCTCTGAGGAACACATCACCTTTGTTCGTGAGAAATGTGTGGACTGGAGCCAGGAGGAGTGCACAATTGGTAAAGTGCTGTTTATTCAACGTGAGGACCAGGCCTCAATCGCCAGGACCCTGAGGGTGGTGCATGCTTGTAATCCCAGCACTGGGAAAATGGAGTCATGTGGGTCCCAGGAGCTCACTGGCCAGCGAGCCTGGCCTGGTTAGTCGTTCCAGGCCCACGAGAGACTCTGTATCAAAAGGCAAGGTGGACAGTATCTGAGGGACACCACAGTCTTCAGCTGGACTTGTGTACACGCATCAGCACACACAGGAAGAGACACACAAAGAAAAAGATGTGGGCTGGGGACGTAGCTCAGTAAAGAGAAAGCTTATCCAGCAGGCTCAGAGCTCTGAATTCAATCCGCGGCACAACATGGTGGATTCTAGCACCAGAGAGGTAGAAGCATCCGAAATGCAAGATCATCCTTGGCTACATAGCAAGCCAAGGCCAATCAGAGTTACGTGGAGCCCCCCCCCCCCCAACACACACACCCCAAAAACAACAACAAACCCAACCAAGCAAGCAAGAAAGAAAATAAATATACGGGCTAATTCATGGATGATGTCGAGGCTGGGGTTGTTAGGCGTCTGAGACCAGCCAGAGCTACACAGGAAGACCTTGCCTTAAAACTGCCCACCCCCGCACACACAAAGACAGCATGGTGGATTCTGACAATTTTATAGGGTTTGGGATTAATGCGGGGCCCTGTGCATGCTGGGTAAGCACTCTACCACTGAGCCACACCCCTAGTCCAGAAGTCCCTTATCTGGAAGTGAGGAAGAGACTGGGAAGACAGTGTGGGGGAGGGAAGGTACATTTATGCATAAATATCAAAGCCCTGTTCTTGGAGACAAGAAAAGTCAGTGACAGGCCCTTGGGACCATTGTTGTTATTGTTGTTGTTGTTTTGAGATAGGGTTTCCCTGTGTAACAGTCCTGGCTGTCCTGGAACTCACTTTGTAGACCAGGCTGGCCTCAAACTCACAGAGATTCGCCTGCCTCTGCCTCCCAAATGCTGGGATTAGAGGCATGACCCCCACCTCCCAGCTGGGTGCTGTTATTGTTTTTCTGGACCTCTTGCCACCTAGAAAGTGGGGATTCTTGGGAGGGCGCAAGCGAGAGTGTGAGACTGTGGCATCTTATTTCCTTCCCTCTAGCCGATGCCGAAAGCTCTGGCCATCTGTTGTTTAGTCCACCCAAAAGAGGATGTTGAGTATTGTTTTCTTTTTGGACCTGCCGGCGTCAGGGTGCCCTGAGCTCCCGCCTTTCTCCTACAGAGCGGCTTTGAGAAGGCAGCGGTGGTTGAGTCTGCGTGGAACGTTTAGGTGGACCGGAGCATGGACAGTAAGGATTACCCTCAGCCCCTTCAGACCAGTTCTTGACTTGAGCGATGGAGCGGGGCTTAGGGAGGAGGTTGTCACATAGAGAGTGTTGTGCCGGTGACTTTGTACACCCTTGCCTTC